ATGTTCTCCCCGCAAAAATAAAAATTTCGAACAGATATATAAACAAAAAATATAATGTTAATATATAGTTTGCAGCTATTTTTCGTAATAATATTTCGTAAAAACAGCGTGAAATATTTTCTATTCCTTTCAGATAGTAAATCATATGTGATACTTCGCATATTTTAATATATATGTGTTATGTGAATTATATAATTGTTATCAATAATATCGTGTATTCAAAAGCTTAACTGCTTTTATAAATGATCGAGGCTGTTATAATCGGCAGTACAAATTAATTATCAACATCTATACGAGAAGTGTTAAAATTGATAGAATCAATAAACATATAACGCTATTACTTGTAACATTTGGAATTGATTTTTATTAGCGAAAATATGAAAGAGAGCTAATAATTCTCGTGTCATAACGAAAAACAAAGAATGTAAATAAACAATAAAATTATTTTCTTTAATTTAAAATAAGAATTTTTAATAGAATTTTTACTTAACATCAGATTATAAGATATCACACACATTGCAGCTTGAAAAATTGTTGGAATAAAATTGTCGAAAAAGTCAAGGAATGACACCTCTCAATATTTCCACTAAAGAAAAATTGGCCACAAGATTTAAAAACACGTTAAATGTTTATTCTCCTCTCTGGTAAAGATGGTAAAAAATGACATGCAATTCAAACTATTATTTCTCTTACGAAAATTACTTCGTCGCAGATCATTTTACTTGAATCGCTCGTTCAATAACAGAGATGCATCTCGACAATGTTGAAATTAACAATTGAATACCCTCTTGTTTCGCATTCGAAATGTTCATTTGAACAAAGAATACTTGTCAGGATGCGCGGAAGATCATTCGCAGTAATCTACATCAATCAAGCCGACCGCGAGAGACGAAAACGGCCGTCAATACGATCTATCGGGTATATACGATAAACCGAAGCGTTCGTCACTTCGTCAACGAGCGTCAGATCGAAAGGTGACACTGCGACGACTCCATGTCGATCAACGAACATGAATAACGTCGCACGTGTCACTCGTCGAATTTGCCGCGAAACTAAAGTCCAATTGCACCGACAATCTATGTCGCTATTATATCTGCTTAGCAATCCCATCTCTATTTGTCTCAAATTATAGCTCTATCTATATTACACCAGAATGTGTCACCGAATTATTATATATCGCCGCTCCCTCCGTCTATAAATATCTCGATCAATCTGATGTCGATATTTCGTAAGAATTCGTTTTGAACGTCGGATTTTTTTTTTTTTTTCTTCAATTTTATGTGTTGAATATTCAATATCTTTGTACATAACCTTTAAATCGAACTTTCGTTAAGATAAGACGCGCGCTTGCAAGTAAATTGAGAAAGTTTCGTTAACGCGCCGTTACACATAACCTTAAATTTTCAAACTTACGCTACGATTGTAAAGTCGCCGCCAATATCTCGATATACTTCAAGACAAAGTGAAATCGATTCCGAATCTCTCGAAGAATCTATAGACAGTAGGAAGGGCGTTTTAGTCGAGCAGATTGCTCGGTGCAATCGGTGATCCTATCTACTCTCTACCACCTACCTACCTTTCGCGCCGTGGCTCCATTTCATTCGTTCGTACTCCCGGCGGCTACGACACGACGCGCGTTCACAGGAATACAGACACTATCAGGCCGACAACACACAGCGAACACACTCGCGTCCGATACCCCGACCGGCGACGGCACTACGAGAGGGAGACGGTGACGACGAATCACTACTACCGACGTTTTGTTTCGGTCCGTCAGCGTGCACGATCGAGTAACAAAGCCGGGTCGCAGGAAACGTTCGTCTTCCCCGGCCGCCAGTAGAGCACTGTCAGGTGTGCGCGACGCGTACTGGCGTCGCACTATCCCCACCCTCTCACCCCACCCCATCCCGCCCCACCACTGCCACCGCCGCGCCGCCGTTACATATGTGTGGTACTACACGTACGCGTGCGTACATAGCGGACGATCTCCGAACGGTTTAATATATACACAGGGAACAGCGCAGTCGGAAACATACGACGGCACATACGGTTTACATAAGAAGGGGAGTATTACATATTAGATTCGGGTTTTTCGGACGTTACTATAAGCTGAAAGAGATAGTACATATTTTAAACGTTTATTTATTACGACGCGTAAGAGAAGGATCTCCTCGGAATTCTGTTTTTTATTTTTTTCTCTCAAGACATTTCTACGATTATACCTTCGCGATGTTTACGTTCTTTACGCGCTCGCGTATGTTGATAATTTTTAGAGAAATATTAAAATTCGATATTATATATGTATATAAATAGTAATACTCGGTTTATCAAAATCATTTTGTGTTTTGCTGTCTATTTTCAGTTAGTTTTATCTTATTTATACGCAAAGATTTTCACGTTTTATAAAGCGGTAATCGCAAAAAAAAAAAAAATACGCACGAGAAAATACGCACCTCTTTTCTTTGAAAAATAGCACGTTTCGAATTTTCACTCGATTTTGTACGACGAACGAGAGGCAATTCATAATTGGCACACGACGTTGCACCAGTAAGATTCTAGCACGCACTGACCTTGCTCTCGAAAAACGACAAGGGATAATTGTACAGACAGATATGTATCGTTCGCGAGCGTGTCATTCGTTCTTATCGAAGCACTCTCTTCGAAGAATCGTCGCATTGATTTAGGATAACGCGGTAAAAAAGAAGCGCTCTCTTTTTTTTTTCTCGAGAGAGTGCGTTTGTGCACATTAATCTCGGTAGATATTAGGTAGGAGTCACCCTTATCCGGGCAATCTATTCTCGTAACGCGGTCGAGCGGACAGAGTGCATCGCCCGACCTACAATTATTCCAACATTTTTTTATAAATACATTCACGTTGATATTAAGGATAGAAAGGGAGAAGTTAATTCGATCGCTAATTCTATACTTTCCAGCTTTAACTCGTCATATTTCTTAGATATTATTTAATGTTACTTCAATGATAAGTAGTAGATATTTCGGTATCCACGAGTAATCTTCTCGCTCGCCTAAGGATTAAATTTAATGCAGTCTTAAGCTATGCCATGACTAACATAAGACACTCTTCCATCCACCATACGATAATGAATGTTAAGAAGACATTTTTCTCAAGTCTCTCGTAATGTGAAACTCTAAGCGCTGTGGCTTTTGTTCAGTTTACATATAAATCGGGCCCTGAATTAATCTTTAGAATGCTAGAAGAAAGTATATTTTCTCGAATCCTTAGAGTTCTGTTTTAAAATAAAGAAGTTTTCTAATTTAGTATATTCTTTGTCTTTCTCTCTCTCTCTTAAAGTAAGACACGATCTTAAGGACGTTACATCGTCTTGCATACGTATATCATCTACCAATGCTCGAGAACTTAATACTTTTACTCTTCTATGCTTAATCCAATCATTTCTCTTATCTTCCAATTATATCGTGTATTATAAGAACTTTATATTGTGCTTGTGCAATATAAATGGATAAGTATAAAATCAAGTATAATACATTCTGTAAATCAACATCATATATCTCGTTCGTGATAAAAAAATATTATGCCAGATACATAATATATATTTAATTGTAAAAGAGTCTCATAAAGTTAAGAATTCGCAGGATTTAAAAAAAATCGATCACGACCGAGTGATTCATCTTATTGTTAGAACAGAATAATACGTGATAATACATAATGTTCGATATTTCTCCATTGTACTTACCCTGATAAATATTTTATTTCTGAGAGAAACTAAGATATATCTCAATTTAATTCGATAGTTTGGTTTATGATACAACTAGAGTACGTACGATAATACACAAAGCAGGATAGATTTGTTAAAAATTTCATTTTCAAACAAAATTTATTTTTTTCTCAATTACTTTGTAGAAAAAATATCAAAGATACCATATTAATTATGCTAATATCTTCATATAATATTTTCATCCAAATACAATTTTTATCCCAAGTCTTCTCAAAACCAGAAGACTCATAAATTATCACGAGACGCGCTAATAATAGTATACTTTAATATATCCAAAGTAATTAAGATTCTTTTTTTATGATACAACCGTCGAATGCAGATCTTAATGCGATAAACATTCAGGGAGCGTAACCAAATATTATATACGTATGTACGAGAAAGGGTTCCCCTTATTGCAAGTCCCGCGCTTACGCGTATTTACATATCTTCAGATATATCAGAGATGCATAGAATAATAATAGAGTGAAATTAAGAGGCCAGTAATTAACGCGGGTTGTAAGATGAACGGAATAATACAAAGAATAATATAACAAGTAAGTACGCAGCAGTAAAAACGACGCCTTTTCGATTCTGAATCGCCAACAAATGGCGCGGCCTTTCTCGTACGCGCGTACACGTGTATTCGCACGCTGTCATCGTGGACTATGGCGTGCAATGTGTATGCCTCGCGAGTGAATTGAGTGGAATAAGGAGGGTGAGAGAACGAGATGCGGTGAGAAAGCGTCAATGGAACAAAGAGAAAAGCCAACCGTTCGCCGCAGGTTGGAAGAGGAAATCGCCGAGCAGCAGTAACAACACGCGCTTGAACGATACAGCGTGAACGGCACGTTGGAAAAAAAAACGGGAAAAATTTTCGTGGCATCTTCTCTCTATTAGCGAAAAATCCGCCCGCTCTGATTCACTTATTGTAATTTACGCGAAATTTCAACGTTTGTGCTCCGACTCGTTTATCCAATAGATGCGTAATTTTTCGTTTAGATCGTTTCACGAATATACGTTATCATATACGCGAGAGGCGAGTAAATTAATTATAACGTGCGGTGTAAATTTACATGAAACGCGACCTGCGAGAACTAAACTTAAATCATGTCGAATAATAAACGAAAAATGGAATGCTAAAGCACGATGTAATGCTTTTCGATGTTTTTTTTAATGGCAGTTTATAATAAATTTCGATAATCATGATGTATGAGATGCGACTGAGAAATAAAACGTAGAAACATGCAGTTGCGTTTGACTCACCATGTTGATGAGGAGCTGAGAATGCTGAATGCCTGCGAGGTGACATGTTAGGATGATTACCCTGGCTACCTGGTGGCTGCATAGAAGATAATGCACCTAGTGGCGTGTAGGATTTGCAAGGCTGTTCCGTCTTTTGCTTAAAAAATCAGGATAACCAAAAATAAATATATTTATAATTACTTAAATGACTAAAAAAATTAACAAAATTTTTAATTTGGCAAAAATCTGAATAAACAGATTAATGGAAAAAATATAAATTTGAATTGTTTAATATAACATTAATACAAAGTAATGTAACATTATGAAATAATATAAATGTAAAAATTTATGATATTTTATTAAATATAGTACCGATATACTTTCAAATTAATAATGTGAATTAATAATGTATTAAAAACGTATTTTATTATATCAATTCTTTTGGCAATATTGTTTATATTTAAAAATAAAGAAATACTGTTTGTATCTATCTACAAAAGCATTTTACGAATGTATTCAATAAATCAAAGCTTTTATTTTGAATGTGCGAATGATGTAAAGTAGATGTTTATCTGACTAAATGAGAAGCAAACAGTCTTGAATGAAACACAAACCTGATCGTGAAGTTCAGTAGCCACTGCGGTAGCTGCAGTTTGAGTATGACTGGTAGAACTGATTCTGTACTGCATACCAGCAATACTGCAAAAACCTTCATGGTGGGTGGATCGAGTTTGATTGACGTAAACACCTTGAAAAAAATTTGTTATCGTAGTAAGAAGATCATTAGAATTTTCGCGCTTAAGCCACGCATGATTAATTACCAGTGATAGTGACGTCCGTGTCCTGATTAACGATGACAACTTTCTTGGATGGCTTAATAACCTCCTCCGGATCGGAGCCTTGTCTGGATTTCTTCTTATCTACGTCCAAGTCATTTTGTCTACGTCTTTTAATTATCTCTACTTCCGACTCACTGGAGGTATCACTGCTGGAGGTACCACAAAGATTTTTCTCGTCGGAGTAGGAAGCAGCCAAAATGGCAGTGGCATTAAGACTGGCCATCCTCTTGCAAACAACCATGTCCTTCAGATCCATTACTTCCTCGTTTTTCTTCCTCCTTTTGGTCATTTTCTTCTTGCTTGGTTCAGCATTCTTTTCCTTCTCGCAGTCTTCATCGGAAGAAGACGAAGATGACGAGCTCTCCAACATATCCCAGTGCTTGCCACGTAATCCTGGCACATTCCTCAACTTTCTTTTCAAAACGTTGTCCTCTGTTTTGCATTCGACCTTCTTCTCCTTCTCCTTCTCCTTACGCGGCTGCTCCTCCTTCTCCTCCTTCATTTTCTTCGGCTTTTCCTTTTCCTTATCGGGTTTCGACTTGCAAAAACCTCCAAGATAAACTCCGCCGGTCTCATTTTCGTATAGGCAGTGAACTTTAGCCAAGGCATTCAATGACGCGACTCTGGGTGGTTTTGGTTTACTCCAAAAGCCAAAAAGTCGCATTCCTCGCGCACGTTCGTCCGACGGTGAATTAGCTCGATCTTTATTCTTAACATCCTTTTGCTTACCTTTCTTGTATTCATCGTCATAATCGTCATCCGAGTCAGATTGAGATGTAACGCCACTGGCACTCTCTCCATTCATTGCTTCGACTTTTAGATCTAATTCAACCGTGTTCTCAGAGCCGATTTGTTCCTGTTTCGCAGACTTTACGCCTTCTTCGGAAACTTTAGTTTGTTTGTTAAATTCCTCAGAAGATAAATCTTCAGATGAAGCTGACGTTTGATTATTGCTCTCCGTTTGTACCCTTATTGGTTTTCCTGCCTTTTTTGAAGCCTTGCTGCTAATTTTGTTACCACTTTTGATAGCTTTTTTATTATCCTGTAATTTTGGTTGAAAACTCTCTTCTTTTCTTTTATCTGAATCCTCTACGATTTCACTTTTAATGCTACTCACTTCTGGTCCTTGACAAGCCTCATCTTTACTTGTAATCTTTTTATGTTCGATTTCCTCAGATTCTTTCAATTCAATTTTCTTTCTTGCCATAATCTTCTCCGTTATATCTTTCAATTTATCTTCCCTTTTTAAGACAGCACTGATTTTTGAATGTTTCTGAGGCAGTTTGGCTTTCATGTGCTTGGCCAATTTCGGTTTTTTTTCTTGTAAAATTTTGGTCTTGGCAATATTACTATTTTTCTTCTTTGTTTTTTTAACTGTATCCTCATCTTCGCTCATTTCTTCGCTTTTAATTGGCTTGACTAACTTGATTTTTTTATCCAATCTTTTAACTACCGATAAATGAGGCTTCTTTGTCAGAACTGTTTTTCTTGTAATATTTTTCTTCTGACCTTGTTTCGTTTTCGAATCTTTCTTTGTTTTAGCAGAAGAAAGTTTATTGCTTGCCGCATCCTTCTCGGAAATTTTCTTTCGTTCAGATTTTTTATCTTTCACGGTAGAATTTTTCGATATTGTCTTGATATCAGATTTAATCAGCTTGACATCTTTCTTCTTCTCATCTTTACCTCTTTTCTTAGTAAGTGGAGAGAGGGCATCAATCTTATCTTCAAATGCATCCTTATTTTCCATTGTATTTAAAGATTTTATATTATCTTCCATACTCGCATTATCGTCGAATTTTATATTCTTCTTTTTTTCCTCCACTTTTTCAATCTTCTTTTTGTTATCGACAAATTGTTTCTCTAATTTCGTTTTCTCTTCACATTTTGGTAATTTTTTTTTATCCGTATTCTCTTGATTTATTTCTTCGTTATTTGTTTTATCATCTCCTTTTTCTATCTTCCTTTCATCAATTTTGTCAGATTTTTTTTCATAATCTTTGTTTAATTGTTTTTTCTTTTCATCTGGCTTTTCTGATCGTTCCTTTCGTTTTTCCTCCATTTTCTTCTTGTCATCAAACTTTTTCTTGTCTTCCACTTTTTCTAATTTCTTCTTATCATTGTCTATCTTCTTCTTTGGATCTCCCATTTTATCATTTTTCTTTGATTTCTTCTCTTTCCTCACATCGGACATGGTCTTCTCTATAAATGTGCGACGTTTCTTGGCGACTGTTGGCATTTTAGTTGCCTTTCTGGCAACAGCACCCTTCTTCTGTGGCTTCATTATGATTGTTTTCTTTACATCTTCAAAATAAATAAATATACTCGAAGTTCACGAATGTCCAGTTTTAATTTCCACAACTACCTAACTGCCATTGTGGATTTTAATAATTGCGATACGGCTCGCGAGCTGGATTTATCTGTAAACAATTCCAATGCAAATAACATCTCGATCAAAGAATAAACGCGATTATTATTTATATTATAATTTCACAAATATTTTATCAACTATTAATTATTATCGCGTCTTTTTATTGCAGTATATATATATATATATATATATATATATATATATATATATATATATATATATATATATATATATATATATATATATATATATATATATATATATATATATATATATATATATATATATATATATATATATATATATATATATATATATATATATATATATATATATATATATATATATATATATATATATATATATATATATATATATATATATATATATATATATATATATATATATATATATAGCTTTTTATCGCGATAAAAATATTTTCCACAAAAATGGACAATCGAAAAGATATTCATAGGTATATAATATTATATATTATACGAATGCTACGTCTTCTCAAACTGTAATAAAAAACGAATTACGCGTATAATAAAATAACAACTGCACGCAAATCGGAGCATTCGCGAGAAACGCGCGCAACGGAAATGGTGATAAAACTACACGAGCAAATCGAGAATCCGCCGTAATGTGTGTCGGAACTGTGCGCGCACTCTCTCATCGACTTGTTGACAAATCGATCCCTTTAAATCTCATTGCGCCCGTCGCGATTCGGCTCTCTCCACACGGCACACACAGCTCTAGGACTCGGGCGATAAATAATTTACCGCGGCGCGCTGCGTCCGCCACTTTTTTCTCCTCGACTTTTCTCGAGCGTGCGTTCTCGTTTTCCGGACGTGTACGCGACGTGACACGACGACGGACAAAGATGCTCGTACGCGACGCAACACACCGTAGGACGACGCGAACCGAGAACAAGAAACGCCACGGCGATGACGACGACGACGGCAACAACAGCAACGACAGCAGCACGCCCTTTAAAAAACGGCTGCTGGACCGATGGCCACAAGTGGCCTTGACAAGTGCGCGAGAGAGTGAGAGAATCACCAACCTGCTGATCGATCAATCGTCGTCGCACGCGGAGAATCTCACGGACGGCGATCGCGCGGCGACGCGATCGCGACCGACGACGCTTAGCAACGCGGGAACGAAACAGAATGGATGCTGATAAGGATACGGCGGACGGAGGCGCCAGTAACGAGATCGTGTTTACCTCTCGGCGAGCCTTCCTCGGTCGGCTAAACTCAGCCCGCGAGCGCTTTTTTAAAACGGCCAAGTCGAAGCACCGACGACAGCGATCGACGACAGGTGACGGCAGGCGATGAAACGGGCTTCAGTTTCTGTCTGTGCGGCTTTGACGGCGGGACGCGCGACGCGACCGCGAGCGACGTCGTAGGGCCCTCCCCGGCGGAAGTTCGACGGCCCTTTTTCGCGCGGTCTATCGCGAAACTGGCAATCTCGTGTCGCGCAACGCGCACCTCGCACGACGTCCCTGCCCTTTTACCGTAGCCTCGTCGGCCATTTTCTTCCTCGCGCCGCTCCCCCACTTTTCTCACTCCGAAGCCCTCTGTCACGTAGTGCCGAAAGCACGATCCTACAATCGTCGCCAGATGACAGCACCTCGTGGCTCCGCGTAACGGTCGTAATGCAAATGCGAGTATTTTCCATGGATGCCATTCTCTGTTACAATGAATCATTCTATTACATCAAATATGCGAAATAAATGAATTTTTTGCATCGTAGAATATATATACAAGCACATGGACACTTTGTTGTCGATTAATATCTCTTTCGATATAGAATCGCGACTTGGCCTCCATTAAATCAAATTTGCGTTATTTAAATAAATTTAATTTATTCTTAATTAAAATTAAAATGAAATTACACTATTTAACTTATTCTATTTTGATAACGGTCAAATAATTTTGATGAGACAAGAAGGATTGATGAGTTGTGACATGATCAAATTTGCATCGTCGATGCACAAAGTGCCGCGAAATCAGAAAATGGCGCGATCGCCGCTTTGCACATTTATCGATATTATTATTCGTAAGATTATTGCCGAAAATACCTGATAACGATCGATGCACGCAATGCACTTTCGATGCACTTTGGCGAGAACGCAACGTAAAATATGCGATATATATAAACGTTCCTTTGACACTTGACGAGAGACACTCGCGAAAATTTTTTAGCGTTCCTTTTAGGCAACAACAATCGCGGAGAATAATGAGAACGATTCGAATGCGATTGTCGCGGCCGCCTTCACGTCACTGGTCATTTAAAACTTATCGAATCAATAAACGATAATGCGATTCTCAAAGTATAGAAATAATTGAAACAGCAGACCAACCAATTATTTTTAACATAAGAAATAAAATTCGAAATATTTTTATACACATAATGCATTAATATTCATTAACATTATTACCACAAATTAATATAAATAATAATTTATTTATTATAATTTTCAATATCGAAAATAAAATATCAAAACGCATATATGTGCGTATGCGATAAATCTTTTTCTGATTTTTATAACTGTAGTAGTTACTTACCCAGACAGCACAAAACGTCCTCAGGATCATCCTGAATATGTCCAGGATGGTTCAGGATATTTGTAGGATGTTTTAAGATATTATTATAAATATATTTTATGAAAATTTAATATGCATACATGATTACTTTCGGTTATGTAGGCTATTTAATATAATTTAGAAATTTTAAGTATTGTAATAAGTATTAATGTCCTATAAATGTCCCCTGGATAACCCCTGGATGTCTGTAGGATATCTGCCCTGTCTATTATATTGGATGTCCTTTGGATTTCCAGAGGATATATACATGTGCAATTAATTGTTAACATTAATTTCGTTTAATATTAATAATTGAATTTGATGCGCACATTTTCATATATTCAAAATTATTATTTATTTAATATTTCATGAGAAATGTTACTATGCGCAACATTCCAAAAACTTTACAAAAAATAGTATTCAACCGCTAGTTCGTTTGTTTACCGCTATGCGACGCGCGAACTCGTATTTGAGATTTGGTCATGAGAATTATATAAAGCTTGCAAAGAGCAACTAACAGGAAATTAAAAATATAATTATTTTTTATCAGTTCAATTTCTGATGCAATCCCAACATAGGGAATTCAGATATTGGATTGTTTTGAAAATATTACACATAAACCTAAAATATTTATGTACAGCACGAAAACCTCAAATATTAAAGAACGTGAACTATTTTTAGTATTAGATTTTTAGTATTGGCAGTAAATAACAGAACGCAATCTTAATTTATATTTAAATTTTAGAATTTGTTCTTTTTAACGTGTGAAAAATATCCCTAACATATCCTATAGAAATCCTTAAGATGTTCCACAGGGTCTCCCTGGATTCTCCAGAGGCTAGTGTACGGCTATCATTTACTCTTCCTCAGGACATCCAGAGGAGATCCGAGGATTAAAATAGGATATCCTCAGGATATCCTACATGTATGTCCTGGATGCCCTTTGGACGTTCTAAGGACATCCTTGTGCTGTCTGGGTACGTATCGCGAACGGTAGTGCTGAATATTTTGTACTTTTTCGTCGAATTTTTTTTTTAAGAAGATGAATCTTCAATTAATCAATATATATGATAAAGTGCCAAACGCGCGAAGATAGTATTTAATCGCGATATACGATATGCCTCAGGCTTCCGATAAATTAAACCATAGACATAGGTATATATACAGGGTGTCCCAAAGCACCCTTGACAACGCTCGTGAGCAGGTAGAGCACAGTAAACTGAACAGAAAGGTCCTGTACCATTTTTTTCTATAACGCTTAATAAAGGAGTTATTATTGAATAAAGTCTGGTCAATCAGCGCCGACTTTTAACCGGACGCACGTCAATGAGCCGCCCGTCTGTTAGTGTGCGTCGCCGTAGCGACGGAACGCTCACGCACACTACCAGGCGCGCGGACGTGCGTCCGGCTAAAAGTCGGCGCTGATTGACCAGACTTTATTCAATAATAACTCCTTTATTAATCGTTATAAAAAAAAAAAATGTTACAGGACTTTTCTGTTCAGTTTACTGTGCTCTACCTGCTCACGAGCGTTGTCAAGGGTGCTTTGGGACACCCTGTATATTATTGTAGATGTATATTTATAGACATATTTTATACTGTGAATTATTAAAAAGTAAATTTAAATTTAAAATGTAAATTTAATTAAGCTAGAGAAATTCAAGCTATCATCGGGCGTTTTCCAGCAAGGACACACAGAGAGACATAATATCATGCAATTAGTTATCGAATAGAGAATTTTTAAAATCCCGAAAATTTTTTTATTCGATAGCCAATTGCGTGATTTGTGTTTCTCTGTGTGTCCTTGCTGGAGAACACCCATCTATAGCCATGATTCTAATACCAACTTTATGATTTTAGGGATATATCATACGATAATGTTGGCTGCGTGCGACGATTTCAGAAGAGTTTAGCAGCTTCGGAGCAGACGGAGCATGAGTGTTTTCTGTTTGTTTAGATTTTTGTAACAACAATGGAATGCGTAGTGGCAAACGTCGAACACATGCGATTTGACATTGAAATTGCTCTCGACGAGCAGTATGGAGCTCTTCCGTTACCTTTCACCGGCATGGACAGTACGTCCTTTTATACATTTCTGTTTTTATACAGTGAACTGTATTGGTTAAGTTTGCGCACAGCATATTATCATATTTATCATTGTGCCTTTATTTCAGTCTATAACAACATACAATACACGGTATGATTTTTTCTAGCAATATTGTATTAATATGCAGTGGCAAATTTTTTGTTTAATTTATTTATAATTTGTTTCAATGATAATCTTTGAGTATTATCCTAGTAGAATCTTTGAGTATTTAGTGGTTGAAGGTATAGTTATTTTCGTGATTTAGGCTTTATATAAACATATAAAAACAGACAATATTATATTCAACAATTTCAGCATTTTAACAACTAACTATATAATAAAAATTTAATTTAAAAACAATTATATAAAAATATATAATTTTCGAAATGTATGTAATTTTGAAAAGTAAATAATGATCTTTTCCTCTCTTTTGATAGAATTACTTAGAATAAATCAATTCTAAACTTTCTTCATATTATATATATATATATATTCTCTTAGTATATTATTCTCTTTTGGTTATACATTTTTTACAATTGTATAATTTCTGCTCTCTTTTTAATTTTTATGAATTTTATACTTATATTTGATAGCTTTATGTTTACTATTGCAGAAAAAGTATGGTACAATGCTTTTATAAGAGACTTATTTTATATGAAAAATATAAAACTGTTAATAAATAATTCTTTTTCCTTCAATTTGCAGAATCAATTGCTGCAGTATGTCAATTTTATCCAAGAGGTACCTGTAGTAAAGGAGGATCATGTCCATTTAGACACGTTCGTGGTGATCGCACAATAGTATGTAAACATTGGTTAAGAGGTCTTTGTAAAAAGGGTGATCAATGTGAATTTCTGCACGAATATGACATGACAAAAATGCCGGAATGTTATTTTTATTCTAGATTCAGTAAGTAGTCTAATACAAGTATTATGCATCTATTATTATTATTTATATTATACAATACTAAAAATTTCCTTATTAATTTGTGAATATTTTATATGCAAGAATTCAATATAATGATCCCTTTGTGTAATATTTAATATGTATTTTAACTATGTGACAATTAAATTATATCTAAACAAATGGAATTAAATATAGATGCATGTCACAATAAGGAATGTCCGTTCTTACACATTGACCCTGAAACAAAAGTCAGAGATTGTCCATGGTACGATCGCGGTTTCTGTAGGCATGGCCCCTTGTGTAGACATCGACATGTCAGACGTGTTCTCTGTATGGCTTATTTGGCTGGTTTTTGTCCAGAAGGACCAAATTGCAAATTTATGCAGTAAGTTTACAAAATGCAAGTATCCATTATGTTGAAATATATTCGAAATCTCTGCATCTTAATCTCTGTTTAGTCCAAGGTTTGAATTACCAGCGGTACAAGACATGCAACCAAAGGAAGGCAAAAAGGTGATGATCACCTGTCACTTCTGTGGAGAAGGTGGTCACAAGGCAATTTATTGCAATAAAATGCCGCCCGATGTACGAGAGGCTCAAGTCAGACAAGATGTCGATAATAATTCTCATGCATCGCATCATCATATGAATATGCATAATGGACCGCCGCCACCGCGAGGACCACAAAAACCACTCGAAGAAGTGACGTGTTACAAGTGTGGACAAAAAGGTCACTATGCCAATAAATGTCCGAAAGGACATTTAGCATTTTTGAGTCATGCAGGTAGTGGAAGTGGCGGTCAAAATCAGAATTATCGAAGGTGATTTTCTTTGTTTTATTTATGTAACATGAATATTGTGATGCTACTTTATCTTATTATTAAATACCTATAAAAATTTGGGTCTCATATACAATAAAATAATTTCATATCTAATGCGTGTCGATATATCATCGTTCTTATGCTATTTCACCAACAATTGTCAAAAAGGAAGCATTTTCATACTTCTTCTCTTTTTCGATATAAATAATAGCACCAATATTTAAAACATTTAAAAAAAGCAGCTTTTTCATATATATAAGCAGGTATTCTAATTTTAAATTTCTTCTGTTATTAAACTGTAACAAATTGAAATATTTATTGTTCTAAAAATGATATATGTCTGAATAAGTAGTTGTTACAGTTTTGTATAACACAGTTCTGTGGACTTTATAAGATTCTTAGTTATTGCTACATCGGCATCTGATACAGGGTGTTATAAAAAGATATATATTTATGTAATATCCATTAATTATCAGATAAAACCTGTATGACTTGCTGGGAAGACATACACTTTACGTCGACGGATATAATAACAAATATGAAGTTTTGCTAATTGAAAGATTAACTGTGTATATGCTCACTTCTTGGATAAATGTTTTAATATTAAACGATAGCATGGAAGGCGCAAAATGTTGTGGAGACGTGCATTTTAACCATTATCCAGTATGATAAGCGCGTTTCTGTCACAAAATTGTTCTCTTATCATTCAAAATATTTTTCCTATCATCATCTTATCACGTGATTCAATTACATCTAAGACATAGTTGCAATTATCAAGGATAAGTTTGCGTATTAATTTTCGCAAATGGTTTAATGCGGATAATTATGCAGAGAAGAAAAAAAAATGATAATTTCCTCAATCATTTTTTTTGAAATTATCCTATCATGTTGTATTATAGTCAATAACTTCAACATAATTAGCAGGAAAAAGTCCGTAAGTCCCATCAGGTCCAAGCCCTTG